ACAGTATTTTTACAGTCTTTATTTTACAGTTAAAATATATGTTTATCAAATAAAGTCTAATGTTACAACTAATCAGGGATCCCTTTAAGAACCTCCTAATGTTTCGGACACTCCCACTTTAGTATGTTTTGACAACAATGCTTGGGCGCAGGAGGGCTCTGTGGGACAGCCTGGAGCTCAGAGGCAGACTGAGCTTCATGGGGTGCTTTATACCAGCAAACAGGCAGCTCCACATGGCTACCACTGGTGATTCAAGGATTTCTCACACATGGATGAATGAGTCACACACACAGCAACACTGGGTGTATTTTTGATCAGGTGTTTTTCCTCAAAATCAGGTTTTTTTTTGTTGCTACTGCTCAAAAAAGTGCTTCAAAATTTTGTTTTAAGATTATATTTCAGATAGTTCATTCAAATGATACATTGATAACACATTTATTCATTATATTTTGACAAAATGCAATTTGTGTTAATATTTTATTCAAAACACAATATTTGCCTATTTCTCCATATACCACTTTTGGACTTAATCCTTGTTTCGATGTGATGGGTCACATACTGTATATACATTTATATCACAATAAATGCACTGTTTGAATCCCCTTTGTTTGTTTCTGACTTCAGCTTCATTAATAATGTGTGAAGTGTTTGCTGTACCTCCCCCCTCCACTGGAAAGAACAGGGGTTGTCCTCATCAGCAGGTCTGAGATCTGTGAGGACAGTTTGGTCTTGGCTGCAGTCTGCTGCTGGACCCTGACTTCTGCTGCATCAGCCAGGTGCATCAGTGTTTTCCTCTCAGGGCTCTCCTCAAAGTTTTTACAGCCGATGCACTTACAAATGGATGAGCACATGATCTTGGCCTTCAGGTAAAATAAAAAAAAGGTAAAAACAGAAAGCAAACGCAGCATTGGTCAGAGGCCTGACTGACGGTGAGCTAACCTCGTAGCACTCGCAGTAGTTCTTCAGGCAGCCTGAACGTTTGCAGTTGCAGCCTTTGCTGTGCCGACGGTCCGACTCTCCTTCTTTGCCTTTACCGATCTTAGGTTTGAAGGCTTCTGGGTTTCTGTCCAAACAAGTCTGTAAAAAACACTCAGCTTAAATCGTGTCAGACAGAAAGCAGTCAGCTTAGTGCCATCACACAACCCACCTTGATGGCTTTGAGACGTTCTGTTTCATGGACCAGATTATTGAAGCAGTTATTGCAGTTACAGTTATTACAGAACTCTCCGTTTGCAAAGCAGTCACAGTATCTGAAAGAGGAACGAGTAACTTAGGAACGTTCAGCTTTTACAAATGCATAAAACAAAGAAAGATTTGTAAGATTGCTATAATTAGACTTTACATCAGATCATCTGAAAACTGTCCATTAAACATGTTTAAATGACTGATCAACAGAGATGTAAAACAAAGTAAACAGTTTTGTGAGAAAATCGTTCAATAATTGGAAAACAATAATTTAGCAGAAACCCAAGTTGGTCAAATGTCAGGTATGGTGTCCTGTGTGTTATTGGTGATCATTTCACATGTTGTATAATTTCTATCCGTTTCTCTCTTTACTGTTCTTATATTTCTCTTCTACTTTTTCTTTCTTACTATAGCATTATTAAAAAATAAATAAAAAAGCCACTGATGATGCAGAAATTAAGAAACTAACATTCAGTTTTGTTTTCTACTGAAGTGGCAAAAAAAAGAAACCCAAGCTGATTCTCTTTAAAAGTTTTATTCCCTTTATTCCCACAGACTCTGTCTCTCAATTCACTTTTGATACTTAAGTACAGTTAGAGTCAGATACTTTTAGATCTTTACACAATTAATATTCTTTGAGAAGATTTTAACTTTTATTAAAGTAATTTCATGGTAAGATACTTGATACTTTTACTCAAGTATAACTTTGTGGTATTTTATACATCACTGCTGATCATTAGCTACAAAGAAAGTATAAAAGTACACATTGATTAATACAGTTAAGTGCAATACTAAGAGTTCTACTTACAGTTTGAGACACTGTGATTTGGTGCAGTTACAGGGTTTTCTTGGTCTCGAGGTTGTTTCTGCAGCTGACACACTAGGAAACAACAATTCATGACATATTTGGATTAACTGGAAATAAACTGTAAAAAAACAGTTACTACAGGTTTGATATTAAGAGGGTCAATGAAATGAAATTTTAAAGGCCTGGCAGTTCTTATGGCTGTTAGTTCATCCACAGTTTTTGTATACAACAACGTAAACAAAAACACTTTTTTAAAGAGATATTTATTTTTGCTAAAATATTTTTTGTTTCTTCTGGCAGGTTTATAATCATCCTGGGTCACATACACTCACCAGCCACTTTATTAGGTACACCACGCTAGTAATGGGTTGGACCCCCTTTTGCCTTCAGAACTGCCTCAATTCTTCGTSGCATAGATTCAACAAGGTGCTGGAAGCATTCHTCAGAGATTTTGGTCCATATTGACATGATGGCATCACACAGTTGCCGCAGATTTGTCGGCTGCACATCCATGATGYGAATCTCCCGTTCCACCACATCCCAAAGATGCTCTATTGGATTGAGATCTGGTGACTGTGGAGGCCATTTGAGTACAGTGAACTCATTGTCATGTTCAAGAAACCAGTCTGAGATGATTCCAGCTTTATGACATGGCGCATTATCCTGCTGAAAGTAGCCATCAGATGTTGGGTACATTGTGGTCATAAAGGGATGGACATGGTCAGCAACAATACTCAGGTAGGCTGTGGCGTTGCAATGATGCTCAATTGGTACCAAGGGGCCCAAAGAGTGCCAAGAAAAGATTCCCCACACCATGACACCACCACCACCAGCCTGAACCGTTGATACAAGGCAGGATGGATCCATGCTTTCATGTTGTTGACGCCAAATTCTGACCCTACCATCCGAATGTCACAGCACAAATCGAGACTCATCGGACCAGGCAACGTTTTTCCAATCTTCTCTTGTCCAATTTCGATGAGCTTGTGCAAATTGTAGCCTCAGTTTCCTGTTCTTAGCTGAAAGGAGTGGCACCCGGTGTGGTCTTCTGCTGCTGAAGCCCATCTGCCTCAAAGTTCGACATGTTGTGTGTTCAGAGATGCTCTTCTGCCTACCTTGGTTGTAACGGGTGGTTATTTGAGTCACTGTTGCCTTTCTATCAGCTCGAACCAGTCTGCCCATTCTCCTCTGACCTCTGGCATCAACAAGGCATTTCCGCCCACAGGACTGCCGCTCACTGGATGTTTTTTCTTTTTCGGACCATTCTCTGTAAACCCTAGAGATGGTTGTGCGTGAAAATCCCAGTAGAGCAGCAGTTTCTGAAATACTCAGACCAGCCCTTCTGGCACCAACAACCATGCCACGTTCAAAGGCACTCAAATCACCTTTCTTCCCCATACTGATGCTCGGTTTGAACTGCAGGAGATTGTCTTGACCATGTCTACATGCCTAAATGCACTGAGTTGCCGCCATGTGATTGGCTGATTAGAAATGAAGTGTTAACGAGCAGTTGGACAGGTGTACCTAATAAAGTGGCCGGTGAGTGTATATGATGTTAAAGTGCACTTTGTGAATGTACAGGTATGTTCCCAGTGGGGATGACAACTCATTTCAGGATGTTTTTTCTTTTTCACATTTCTGATAGATTTGTTCATTTAGGATTTCAGCTGCTGCGTGGACACTTTCTTACACTACTCCTCCTTTTCTTTTTCTCTTCAGTCAAAGTTGGCTAAAGTAACAACAACAACAATAATAATAATAATTATAATAATAATAAACTTTATTTATATAGCACCTTCCAACAATGCCTTCCACTGACCAAATTGCTTCACAAGATAAAACAAATAAAAACAGGACACACTAAATAAGAATGAGTTAAAAACACAACCACAATAAAAGGCAGTGACGTCACTAGGCCTATTTTAGGGGGCTGGAGCCCCGGACTGAGCTGTCTTATGAAAGGGACTTTATTTTCTTAAACAGGAAAACACAATTTCACTGGTAAAGCTGTGTCATTTGATGCAAACTTGAACCCCTTTCTGTCCACAGTTAAAGAGTACAGGAAGCCAAATCATTCTGAACTGAGCAACTAAGTAATGTGTTGAGGTGTGTGTATATTAGAGATGCAAGTTATTTATTACTGAATTAATGTAAAGTTGATTGATCTTATCCATCGACTAACGTTTAATTGATAAGTGGCCATTTTCTTAAAAACCTGACATTTCTCTTGAATCAAGGGTTTTTCTTTGAGATTAAGGGTTAATTTTTTTACACGCTAAATTAAAAATAAAAGTACAGTATTATATTTTATAAAATTTATTGTGCCAGCTATATTAAACACTGACTGAATAAACAGAAAATTGTGGGTTTCTCACACATTATTAAACTTGGACATATTTATAAAATATAACAAAACAGGAATCGATAAGGTTGCTAGTCGGAATAAAAAGTAAAGAAAAAAATAGTAAAACACTTGATCCACTCCAAACAGAGAAATGTAAAACTAACCGTTAAAACATAGGGCAACATTTTTAGCTAAAGATTTACTCAAAAAAAAAAAAAAAAAAAAACCTAAATATAATAAAATATCCTTGAGAAGGGTGAGATAAAAATGAGTACTGGAACTATGTTAGTTATCCAGGCTGGGCTGCTCGGCACGATTTACTGTCAGTTAGTACCCATTTGATTGGTTCACTGGCCAGGTTACACCATACAGATGAGATTAACTTCACGTTAATTACTTTTAGTGACTGTAACGTTTTTGTTTTGTTCTTTCACACAGAGTTAAACTCTACAAGAAGAAGCTAACATTAGCTACAGTTAGCTTACCAGTCTCTGTCGTCCTGCTCTCTTGCCTTAAGAATCATATTGCTGGATGGTCCGGTACAGATTTCAGTACTTTTCCTTCCAGTTTGATGTAGTCCATTATTATTGTTGTGTCGCAAATAAAACTAAACAAGATTTGCCTGTTTAATTATGATGCTGCCCACATCAAGGCGACTAAGCTCAACAGTGTCGGGGTACAGTAAGGCCAGGCTGAGAGCAGTGGTGCCCTCTTCTGGATGGTGGCCAAACTGCACTGAAATAAGGCTTAAATGGATGTTTTCAACTAACTGAATGGGAGAAATTTTAATCTAATAAACCATTATTCGACAATTAAGTAAGCCGATTAATTGTTTGCATCCTTAGTGTATGTGTGTGTATGTATGTGAGCATGTGTGTAAAAGTGCATGTGTTTTTAGAAATCTTTAATTTCTGATAATACCTTTTTATTTTATCAATTTAAAATTCTATTTGTTTGTAGGGGTTGGTTCTGGGGGTAGGGAGGCTCACTGAGGTTAATATTTCTGGTAAAAAGAGTTGTTTGGTCTTTCAGAATTATTATTATTATTATTTTATTTTATTAATTCTTACCCATTGAGAGGCAGTTTGGCCTGAGATTGGACAGCACCAGATGGAGGGAAACTAGAGTTACTGGCAAGAGTCACAAATGGTGACTGCTGGATCTACAAAACAGGTGGTAAAAACAACAGAAACAGTTCAACACACATACAAAGAGTAGGTAAAATATGTCAGTAAAGTAAAACTGGACAGTACAACTAACCTGTGTGACATACTGAGCTGGCACAACTGTATAACCCACATTGCTGCCTCCAGGAGCTGGTGCCAAGACTGTGCCTGGTGGGAGGTTGGTGAAGCCCGGCTGGATCTGTGGGAGCGGCGTTGCAGGCATGATCAGGCGTTGTTGTGTCTGAGTGGTGGTGACTACTTGTGTTGCTGATGTCAGAGGCTTAGGTGCCACCTGCAGATAATACAAACAGTTTAACAAAGCTTTGAGTTAGCAGCAGTTACAACGTTCAAAAGTTACCTGCTTCACTGTCTGTGCTGAGACGACCGGGACAGACATCCTCACCGCTCCTGTACCGACTACTACAGGTTTACCTGAAAGACATTAAGCACATAAATCATGATCCAGGTGTAGATAAACAGCAGCTGTGTTTGGATTGGTTAGGAGAAAAAGCAGAAATTTATAGCTCACCAGTCTGAACTGAGCTGGTGTTGGGAACACTGGACTGTCCTGTGCTGCTAGCTGTGCTGGCTGTGACCAGGCGAACATAGTGAAACCTGCTTCCTGGCACTTGAATCTGTTGCACGTTTGGCTGGGCAGCCAGTGGGATGATGGTCTTGAACTGGGAACCACCAACTCCTGCCACTGGTACAGTCTGCACAGGCTTAATATTCTACAATGAATGAATGAATAAACATAGGCACAGTGAATATTTCACACATGGGTTAAAAGGAAATAAAAAATTCTGACTGAAATTATTTTAACAGTGAATCTCATAGGAAGCCTCAACCTCCCATGACAGTGCTCTCTCATGAAAAGGAGTTTGGACACGCAAGCAAAATTGAATACATCTGTTTGATAACAACGCTCTGAACTCTGAACTAAACAAAGTACAACGTTAGATTTTAGATACCAAAGTCTGGGGTAGCTTGGGAGCGAAGTATGGAAGAAGAGGTATGCTCACTCAGGATAGGAGCTGTAGACTGACTAGTGCTTAAAATGCAGACTCTGTTGCACATGGCCTGAGTAGCCTCACTGACATCAAAAAGACCCACCCTGTTCTGCTCTGATTGGATAAAAGTGTGGCTGTGGGGTTCATTAGATTTGTTGAAAGTAGCACCCGTTTAATCCTGCTTCATTGGACAGTCAGCCTGTTAACTGTCACTGTTAACAAAATAAACAAAAGATTTTAAGTAACAGTCAGTATGGTTTTAGAGCTAACAATTCAACATCATGGAGTTGATTGAACAGATAACTGCTGTTGATCAAAAACAGTACCGTGATAGTGTTTTTGTTGATTTAAAGAAAGCTTTTGACACAATCGATCCACAATTCTTTTTGAAAAGCTGAATAAATATGGTATTAGAGGACCAGCACTGCAGTGGGTAACTAGTTATTTGAAAAATAGGAAACAGTTTGTTCAAATAAATGACATAAGATTGGAACTCAGTAATATCACATGTGGAGTTCCTCAGGGTTCTATACTTGGACCAAAGCTGTTTATTTTGTATATAAATGATTTAGTAAATGTATCAGGGTTGTTTAAATGTGTTCTGTTTGCTGATGACACTACATTTTTTGTTTGGGTATGGACATTGAATGGATGTTGGAAAGCATACAAACAGAATTTGTAAAAATACAAACATAGTTCAAATGTAACAAATGGTCACTAAACTTGGATAAAACTAATTACATGATATTCAGTAATAAAAAGAAAACTACAGATTTTCCATTTAAAGTTGATGGTGTTGAGATTAGTAGAGTCAGTGAGATAAAGTTTTTGGGCATTATCATTGATGAAGGGCTGACATGGAGAGCTCATGTGAATTACTTAAGAACAAAAATAGCTAAATCTGTTGGAGTACTGTATAAAGTAAGGGAGTTATTTAATGGTAAAGTTCTGTTTATAGTGTATAATACAATAATTGTTCCATACTTGGTTGGTATACTGTGTTGAAGTCTGGGGTAAAGCATGTAAAACAATCACAAATCCTATTTTTATTTTACAGAAAAGAGCAGTAAGAATTATCACCAGAAAACATTACAGTCATCCTTCGAATATAATATTTTCTAAATTAAAATTATTACAATTTTATGAGTTGGTTGACCATAATATTTTGCAGCTTATGTATAAGGCTCATAAAAAATGTTGCCTTTAAACATCCAGTTATAGTACTTTGTTAAGAGAGAAAGTTCTTTTAATCTTAAAGGACTTGAGATGTTTGTGAAACCCAGAATTCGAACAAACTTGAAGGACTGATCTACTTCGGTTCAGGGAATAAGATTGTGGAATAATCATGAAAGTGATTATAAGAATGCTAGTTCAATGTGTTTGTTTAAGAGAAAGATAAAAATAAGTTTGTTAAAGAAATATGAAACTGTATAATGTATATCAAAAGTTGTTGTTTGAGAATGAATCGAATGTTTTTATTTTGTTTTTTG